TCCTCGTGTTCAGGGCTGTGCCCCAGGCGGGGCTTCCCCAGCAGGGAGCACCGCGCTTTCCCCGCTCAGACCTACCCCGAGGTCCCTGTTAGTAGAGGCAGCCCTGGCTTTACTGCCGTGTGCCCCGAGGTTCCCCAGAGCACGTCTGCGAGAGGAGAGAGAGCTGGGCAGGGGTGCAGGATTGGGCCCCTCGAGCCCGGGCAGAGCACACCCTGCTCACTCATGCTGCAGCGCTACAGGCCACATGGGTTTTGCCCAATGAAGCGGATCAGCCATGCAGGACACAGCCGTCCCAGCACAGCTCATCCGCCTCACTTGGTGCCATCTGTTTCCAGCCAAAGGTGTGGCTCGGTCCTGCATGAGGCTGGTCAGGGTCAACTGCAAACCTGAACAGAATACAGGCAGTTCTCTGACTTACAACACAATTGGTTCCTGAAAACTATGTCTTAAGTTGAAACATTGTAACTCGGAACCAATTCTCCCATTGGAATAACGTTATAAATGGGGGATTGGTTCCTGAACCAAGGCCCGATACCTTATTTGCACCAAAAACAACCCAGAATTTTGTACTCAATCGGTCATACATGAATGTAGCTATGTTACTCATCTATTTATATTGTAAATAGAAATCATATTGATTTGGAAGGACTTCTTTGAGGTTTCATAGTTTCATAGTTGGTAGGGTCAGAAGGGACCTGAGCAGATCATAAAGTCCGACCCCTTGCCATGGCAGGAAAAATTACTGGGGTCAAATGACCCCAGCAAGGTGTTTGTCTAACCTCCCCAGGGTAGGAGCCAGCACCACTTCTCTTGGAAGTTGGTTCCAGGTTGTAGTCACCCTGACTGTGAAGTAGTGCCTCCTGATGTCTAGTCTGACATGACTTTGCTGGACTTGGTGACTTTGCTGGTCTGTTTGAAGGGTTCTTGGCTGGAGGCTTCTCAGGAGTCTTGGCTGCAGGTTTTTCTGGAGTTTTTTCTGATTTCTTAAAGTGTCCAAGGAAGTTTGGACAGATGTTCTCCAGGGAGATGGGTGACGCAGCGAACTTATTCGCTGGCATGGCATCACATTGGATCAAGCATCAAAGTCAAAACTGACATCAGAAAGTATAAACAGGGTATCAATTTATAAACATCGTAAATGCCGTTTGTTGTAACTCAAAACATCTTAAGTTGAGGACTGCCTGTATAGCTGAAGTGATGGAGGCTTCTGGTTTGGGTGTGGACAGGCCCATGTTCTAGAGCAGAGCTTTCCAAACTGTGTGCCGCGACACATTAGTGTGTCAGCGGCAGTGTGTAGGTGTGTCGCGCGAAATGCAGAAAATTTTGCGGAAGGGCACCACGGAGCTCCCTTACTCGCGTCTGCTTCCCTTGGCCCCTCCCCCGGAACTGAATTACTGTGTCGCGAAATGATGCATGTTTAAAAAGTGTGTCACCAACATGAAAAGTTTGGAAAGCTCTGTTCTAGAGAAACACTTTATACCAAGGTAACTGTAATGCTGGTATGCATGATATGTCTGCCTGTACCTGGAGTCTGAACCAGCAGGCTGCAAAGGAAAACATTTCTCATTCTTTTTTTAACAAGTACCATTAGCCTGTCTGCAAAATAATAATTTATTTGCCTCAAAATTCTAATTGTTGTAAGTAAATAATTATCCATTTTAAAATTGGAACCAATGCAAATGTTTAGAATTGTTTCAGTGGAACCAAGAACATCAGCTGTTAAATCTTGGGGCTTCTCAACACCACTTGTTTTTGTCCTTGGTTATGTAAACTCTGATCTTGTTTTATCTTTAAGGGTGTTACTATTGTAAAACCTATAGTCTATGGAAATGTTGCGCGATACTTTGGAAAGAAAAGAGAGGAAGATGGTCATACTCATCAATGGACAGTTTACGTGAAGCCTTACAGAAATGAGGTAGAAAAAATTATTGAAATAGTGTGACTCGATTTAAGCTATTTGCCTTAAATTGTGACTTGCTTTTGTTAAACTACAAACACTTAGTCATACTGAATTTTAAGCACATTGAGATGCACTGACCTGGAAGTTAAGCACCTCCATACTTGTTTGCAAGGTGCAGGCCTTACACACGTAAATATAATAAATGTTACCAAATGTCAACAGAGAGAGGTTCTCAAATTATGATTGTGTAAGAGGAGAACGTGGACAAAATCCTAACCGCTTCATTTTAGTGCTACCTAATAGAGAGGCCCACCTAGAAAATATCCTAAGATTCGACCTTGTGAATACTTGCCTTTCTTTGGTGCCAGAAGCCACTTTTGAAACAAATGAACACCTGATGGCCCAATACAGCTCCATTTGGCAGCTTCTGAAGGAGCTGCAGGAATTGCCTGGAGGTACAGGGGTAGCTATACACACCTGCTGGCTCTGGGAAACAGTAGAAGCCTTGTTTCACTTTGCAGAAGGGGTTTAACTTTGGTAAGAAAGAGGGTTCTGATGTAGCAAAAGAGCTGTGGGTATAAATGCATTCAAGGTTTTGTTGGTTTTACCCAAGCTCTAAGAAATAACCTGGGATTAAGAAAGATAATGGTAGAAGTTTCTTTGCTAAGAAAATATGTAGACTACAGTAAAAATGAACTAGAACATCCTTAGAGAACTATAAGAACAGGGTTCGCCAGCTGGCGGCCCGCAAGCAATTAATGTAAGGCCTGCGGGTGCCAGCAGGTATAGGGGCCACCCCTGCAGTGTATGGCCTGTGGTCTTTGGTTTCATTGAAGTTGCAGAGCCCTCTTCTAGGAAAAAAACTAGTCTGAGGTCTTCATAAGGGAAAATGTTGCAAGATTCAGTGCGGGGGTTTGGCCCCATTAGGCTGCTCGTCTCCATGTTGTGATGTAGGTGAAACAATGAGGAAAAGGGGTCTTCCCAGTGTGCTATGTAAACAGTTGAAAATCATTGACTGCTCTTTCCATTTTAGGATATGTCTGCTTATGTGAAGAAAATTCAATTCAAGTTACATGAAAGCTACGGGAATCCTTTAAGAGGTAAGTTTTTTGCACTCTGTTGTAGTTAGGATGTTTCCATTAGTTATATGGAATCTAAGGCCTGGTCTGCACTACAAAATTTTGCCAGCATAACTATTTCAGCTAGGGGTATTTATGATAACAGACCCCTTGGTGTGAACACAGCTGTGTTAATAGAAAAGAGTACTTTCAGCTCTATTTATTTAGTTGGGGAAGGTGGTATAACAATTATGGTAGCAAAAAAACCCTCTGTCAGTTTACAGTACATCTTCACTAGTTGATTTTCCTGGCATACTTACAGTGAGAGGCCAAAGTCAGTTGTATTCATGGTATTGTTTTTCCATTGCAGTTGTTACCAAACCGCCATATGAAATTACTGAAACAGGTTGGGGGGAATTTGAAATCATCATTAAGATATTTTTTATTGATCCCAATGAAAGGCCTGTAAGTATATACACACACATATATATATATATATATATATATATAACAGCTGATCAGAAAACTCATATTTATTATGAAATCTCTATAGCTTCACTCTTTTATTGCTATCCTTGGCTCTGGACACATCTTGGAGTTACCATGTGCTAAATTTAGATGGAAAAAGAGCAACCCAAGAATGTCATACTAGATCAAACCGTTGATCCATCTAGCTCAGTATCTTGTGGTAATCTTCTTCTGTGTGATGTTTTAGGATTACACCATTCATAAACTAATATCTAAATTTGATAACCATTTGACTGCTTTAGGGGTAGCTGCATGGATTGATTTTTTTAGATCACTGTTAAATGACCTAATTGGGCAATTTGTTCACAATGGTGCACCACAATCACGACTCGGATTACAGTGGTAGTAATGGATGCTTTAGGGAGAGCATATGAACAAGATGCATCTAGAGCAGTGATTCTTAACTGTGGTGCTGCAGCACTCTGGGTGCCTTAAGACTTAAGATCATTTTAAGGGTTCCATGGAGTGCCATGCAGCGTTAGAACTGTTGTATGCAGACATGATTCACAGGATAAACCCAGAGGTTTCAAATAGGAATCCATAATGTTAAAAACATTCTGATCTGTTCCAGTCTCTTTGAATTCCTTGCAACAGAAGAATTGCTCTATTTTTCCACAGTCAAAAAATGTGAAAGCTTTGAGGGGGGCCTTGAGTATAATAAGGTTGTGATCTAGAGTGATCTATCCCCTGCTGTATCCTCTGTGGCATCTGCCATCATTAGCTTAGAGATGCATTCCTGACTGTTCAGGTACATCTCTGACAGGTCACAAGTGGTTTTAAAAAAAAAAACCTTTTTTTGCCGATAGAATGTGGTAAAGATGCTTGCTTGTTGAAATATGTTTTAAAATTGATGTGCATTTTGGACAAAAGACCAGAACTGAATAATCTCAGTTTGAACATTCTTTGACCAGACAACTGTTAACATAGCTTAGGTTAGAGAGACCTTCTAGAATCAAGCGTAGTTCTTTGTTATTTTAGGCTACCAATGCAAATAACTACAGCCTTAAACTTATCAAATAGTCTGAAAACTATTTATGTTTTGCCCACACTACTCCTATTGGAAGGCTGTTCCAGAACCTTACTCTTTTAATGGTTAGAAATTGTCTTTGAATTTGTAGCCCAGACTTATTTATAGCCAATTTTCTACCAAATTGTTCTCATACCAGCATTGTTTCAAGAAGAGTTACAATAGCTACACACTTTTTTTTGAAGGATGTTTAAAGAAAGGAAAACTTTAGTGTGGTCAAAGATATAATTGTGAGTAATAGCGTTAGCTTACTTTGATATGGGGTGTTAAAAATCTGACCCATGGAGTCTTGTTGTGCTGACCCAAACACTGTCAAATCGGCCATATGCACAGGGCCCAGGATGTGTGCTGCACATAGCAGTGCTTTAGGATTTACACTACTGGTGGCACCTGTTACTGGACCCTTGCTCCATGTGGCAGCTGCTCCAGCCCATATCAGCAGATGCCAAAGCAACAAGAATGGGCATCACATGCAGCAACTCCTTAGAGAGGTCACCCCCACTCCCCTCTTACCATGAGATGGGATGATCTAGTTGATTGCCAGCTGTGAAGCAGAATTATGCAGGTTTGAGAGAAAGGAATGGAATGAAGGGGAAAAGAAGAAAAAGATGAAAAAAGAAAAACTGTACAGTATCTCTTATGACATAATGGGCATGTTTACACTGCACTGGCAGTATGCTCCAGTCAGGATGTTCTTGGTCATGCCCTGCCTACTTGGTGCAGGCTGATTGGGGAAAACATGAAAATGTGCCCATGAGGCGGTTGCCAAGACCTCTATCTTTAGTGTGCTAAAGAGAAGCTACTGTGGACAGCCACACATTTCCAGGTTTGGAGCATGCTATTGAAAGAGGGTGAGCAGGACATGGTCAGGACTGTTGTAGCCAGATCACGTGATGTGGGTAGAAAGCACCAGTGTTCTGTTTTATTATCCAAAGCATGGCAGTGTGGAGTATGCAGCAGGGATACACCACCCAAAACAGCTTGAGAATTACTGATCTAACCCCTTAGGAAGCTAATCCTACTAGGAAGCATTTTTGTTGCAGGTGTCATGTTCTGCATGAACTATATGGTCTTTCTGGTCCTTTATCTGTTTGACTTATTTTTAAAAGGAGGTAGCAATTAGAACAGCATTGAGTGTGTTGTTTTACTTTTTAGGGTATTTTGCCTGTTGAATGAGATTTGATCTCGGGGTAACTTAGTTCAGTAGATTAACTGAATTCAGTACTTAGTGGCTTACTCTAGTTAAAGTTCAAGGTAGGATTAATGTTGTGTTCTCATAACTTTAAAAAAAATCTGCACACTTACGCAACAAGAAGAGCTGGTGACAATTAATTCCATTGTTGATGATAACCTTTGATTGATTTTCTTGAACTGCTCTTAAGTCTGTTAAAGTTAATACATTTTCTTTGTGCAGGTAACTTTGTATCATTTGCTGAAGCTATTTCAATCTGATACCAATGCAATACTGGGGAAGAAAACTGTGGTTTCTGAATTTTATGATGAAATGGTAAGCAAAAACATCGCCTTTACATTTTTTTTAAATTTTATTTTAGAGTAAGACTAAAAAGTGTCTCTTTCTTCCTTAGATATTTCAAGATCCTACTGCTATGATGCAGCAGCTGTTGACAACCTCTCGTCAGCTGACACTAGGAGCTTACAAACATGAGACTGAGTGTAAGTGCCAGATAACAATTCCAAGATTACATATGTGATTTTTTTTTTCAGAACTTTTATAATTCTTGTTTTTAACGTCGCTTAAGAATGCACACAGTAAAATTATCTTGGTCTACTGCTGCTAAGTGGAATTCTATATAGAGATCTATGTATATCATTTGATAAGGGTCCTTGCACACTTGTAGTCCAGACTATTAACATGCAGGTATATTATATGTATTTTAAGTTCTTCAGGGTTTTAGATTGGGGGGGGAGTTTCTTAATTGTTTACTTCTGACAAATTTACTCTGAAGATTGATGCAAATATGTATCCTTGGTGTTACTTAATTGGAGTCAAGGAATACATAAGGGATGAATTTGGCTCAACTGATTTGAGAGGTGAACTGTTTATCTTAAACAGGTATCTCCATTTTACCGTAAACAGCAATAACACTTTAAAACATGGAAATCCATGAGACAGAGCCTTTGAATGAATTGCTTTTCCATCTTGCAGTTCTTTGCTTCCTTTTTAACAACACTGAAATGAAGGAAATCAAAATGAAAATACTTTATTAATGAGTTTAAATGGTAGTGTCCTGTCTCTTAGATTTTGAATCCTATCTCTTTTTATTTTCTTCACTTGGAGCCAGTAACATATGGCCTGTGGGCCAGCTTTGACTTGTGGATCCAGGTAGCTTTGCCTCCACTTGTGACCACATCCATGTCAGGACAGAGCAGCTAGGCGATGTACCAGAGCCAGGCAGCTTCCAGCTGTGCTTGCATCCCCTCACCTCTTCTCCCTGTCCAGAAGGCATGGAAAAGTGCCTGGACCCTATGCAGGTGTAGACAAAGCCCTGTGCTGCTGACATACTAAAAAAGCCCCCGCCCTTGCCTACCATGATGCTGTTTTTCTATTTTGCTGTTTTTAATTTAGTTAGATAGTTGTTTTTCTTTGTTTGTTTGGTTTTTAATATGCAGCATTTAAGTAAATTATGGAGTTGAGATGGCTATATACTTCTGGTAGGCATAGGTATAAATTACTACAATTTTATAGAGGTTTTCCTATGATCAAGGGTATCAAAGATCTGGCCCACAGTGTCTCATTGTGCTGACCCACAAATATACCCATGAAACTAAATACCAAGTAGAAGTTCCTTTGGAGCATGGACTCTGTTAATTTTAATGTTAACACAAATGAATACATTGGTGGGAGTAGCATGTTTGTACAGTGGTACAGAATGCATGTTATCTGTACATATTTCTGTTACCGGTATCAGCATAAAAAGAGGAAGAGTGGAGGACGTTTGTGTTTTCTTACAATCTCTTGCACATAAGCTGAAAAGATGAGTTGAGCCACTTCATCAGGTTTCAGTAGGATACTTGTAAAGTCTGCTTCTGTACCACAGGGCTCCAAAATATGGACAGTAATTACTGTGAACAGGAATTGCTTACACCCAAAGAATATAAGTGTTGAAGCATCAGTCTTCAGTACCTCCAGAGCTTCCACTTTCTTATCAGTATCACCTTGATTTATTTGGCTCTATCTCCATATATTGTTTTTACTCTGAAAAAGTGTTCATGAAATGCCGTTCTTTAAAACTGGCAGAGCAAATCTGTTCAGTGTACAAGTACAATTATTTTGGCATCTACCCCTGTGAACTTGAAATGGGATCTGAGAATTCTTCTGGGCTTATACCCAGTCTTCCAGGCCAGAATTGGCTTTGTTACCTTTGTTAATTTTTAAATATTCTATGTAATGTCAGTTTTACAGTATACTAAAAGTATTTTCCTTTGTCACCACCCCAGTTGCAGATCTTGAAGTTAAAACCAGAGAAAAGCTGGAAGCTGCCAAAAAGAAAACCAGTTTTGAAATAGCTGAGCTTAAAGAAAGATTAAAAGCAAGCCGTGAAACTATCAACTGTTTAAAGAATGAAATTAGGAAACTTGAAGAAGATGATCAGTCTAAAGATATCTAACAAGCATCAACTTGATAAAGACATTAAACTGAAACTTAAGGGACTTTGATTCTGGAATCACATTAACACTTTCTCTCTCTTTTGTGGAGGGAACTACATACAGTTTCATTAATGAATTTCATTTGAAAAATGTGGGATTTAGCTTTATACATGAGCAAATAAAATTACACTTTTGTAGCTTAAAATGCTGTGGATATTTTGCAATATTATTTTAAAGCAAGTTTCTGAGATCAAACTTTAAAAAAATATATTTAAATTCAGTATGATAACTTTGCAGTAAGACTTGATAGCTTATTGTGATTTTTTTTCTTTTTACGGTAATATTAAATTGTCAAACTGGAGTGGGTTTTTTTCTGTATATGATTGAAGACGCATACTTAGACATACAAACAGCATGTTTATTTTTAAGGAATTTAAAATCCTCTTGCCTTATTGTTGGCCTCACAAGAGTAGCATCTTTTGACTCAAAAACAGTGGTTAAAATCTTTGGTATGCAGGTGGCTTAAGTCTGTCAGTCATGGATTCCAGCACTTCTTTTTTTGGTATTGCTATAGGGAAAAGGCAGACCCTAAAGACTCAGGAAGATGACATTCTTTGAACTAGCTGTTCTATTTTACAAATGGCACAGCAGTCCCACATCTATCTCTTATTTGGAGATATGAGGTATTTCTGTACATTTATAAGTCAGTTTGCTGTAATTTGTGTTTTGCAGGTGTTTAATTTAACACAATAAAATCATGAAGAAGTAGGACTGGCAGGGACCTCCGGAGGTCAACTAGTTCAACCCCCTGCTTCAGGTGAGATCATCCCTGTCCAAACCATCCCAGACAACTATAACCTGAACTCCACATAATACTACTGTCATCCCTGACAACACAGACCAAACACCCTAACTGGTTGCAGATCAAGCAGGGGAATCACAGCAGCTAATGTTCTGCTTCTATGCAATGTCAATATATGCTCAAGAGATCCCAGATAGAGGGCCATGCCCCCTGCTACAGAAGAAGGCAAAAACCCTGCAGTCTCAATCTGACCATGGGGTAAAATTCCTTCCTGACACCAAATATGGTGATCAGTTTGACCCTGATTGGAGGGACAAGACCCTTTAGCCAGAACCTGTGGCTTTGGTCCCAGCAGGAGCACTGACACATCCCAGTTAAAGTCTACAACCTTGGCTATAGCCAACACCCAATACCTCTGGACAAGGCTTAAAAACACTGACATATAGCAGAAAAGGTGTGGGTGGAGGTAACAACCAGCAAAGCCCAGAAGCATGGGAAATGTCATAGTAGAACATAAGCATTGCTTGGCCTAGATCATCCCTGACCAGTGGCTGTGCAGCCTTTTCTTGAATACCTGGCCATGTGCTACTTGGATTGGGGGAAATGAGGTGGGGAGGGGAGGCAGGGATAGCCTCAAGTTCACTGTGCACAGGGATGGCAAAGTGCAGTGTCCCAAAGCAGAGCGATAGGTGCTCGCTGCCTGGTGCATTACAGCAGTGGGCCTAGGGCAGGGGCATTGGGGCAGCAGCCCCAGGCACTGATTTGTGGGAATAGAAGTAAAATAGCTGCCTCCACAGCTGCATGATCTTGTCGTCAGCCTGATAGTAGCCAGATGGCATCTCTGCCCTGGATCTTGGCAGCCCTATTCTGTGGCATAATGGAGTGCTGATGCAAAGTGAGGAGGTGAGTATCAACAGTATTGAAGACCAGCACGGTCAGAACTTGCTGAGTCTGTCTTTGCACAATGCAAGCCAGAGGAAAGCATGAACGCAGTCCCCCACTACCACAAATTATGCAGTTGAGTTTTCTGCATTTGGGGAAATAGCAGTGGTCAGCACACCTAGAGTACAAGGGATGAGCCTCACCCTGAGAGAACCTTTTATTTTTTTTAATTGGTTTCAAAGGCCAAATCAGTTCCAAATTCTATTGGGCAAAGTCCAAGTAGTCAAGTTCCAAATTTTGATTGAGCAGAGAGCTCAGTCATTCAAGTTTGTGTGTGTGGCTGTACCACCAGGCAAGTATCCTCCCTCCCAAACCCACCAGTCTTGGGCTTTGGATGCTCCCCAAATGCATGGCCAGCATCTTACATACAAGCAATAAGGATGGAGGCCTTGGGGGTTCAGATGCTCCTTAGGCTCACTCCTAGCCAGAAGGCTGAGTAAGCTAGTGGGGAAGTGAAAACGCAATCCCCCATTGGCACAAAATTGTGTATTTGAGGGGAAATGTTTACTGATGTGTGCTTTTTGAGCTGGATTGCTATGAGAACTTGGAATTTGGTTCACCAAAAATGATTGCTAATGAATGATGCTGTGCTGGATTCTAACGAATAATGAATGCTGTGCTGGATTCATCACAGAGGATGATGTGCCAGCAGACGATACCTCTGGAATGCAGGAATGTTGTAAACCAGCTTCAAGGGTGCACAAATGGGGTGTATGAAGTGTGGTCGTTCCTCAAGGACACGATCCTTGAAGCACAAAAGAAAACCGTTCCTATGAAGAGGAAAGGTAGCAGAAGGGCTGGCAAGCCCTCCTGGCTCAATAGGGACATCATGGTCCTCTTGAAAAAGAAAAAAGAGGCGTACACACAATGGAAGCTAGGGACAGTCTTCAAGGAGGACTATACAACAGTGGTCCGCACTTGTAGGGAAATGACTAGGAAAGCCAAGGTGACAACTGAATTTAAGATAGCCGAGGGAGTCGAGGACAATAAGAAGTCCTTCTTTGCGTATGTAGGGAGCAGAAAGAAAACAAATAGAAGTCTGGGGCCCCTGCTTAACACCTCAGGACAGCTGGTAACAGGCACTCAGGAAAAAACTGAACTCCTGAATGCCCACTTTG